ATAAATTTAAACGTTTTTATAACGTTGTGCCGACGTTGGACTAGTACTACAGCAAAGTAGAAGCTTCTGCGACGTCGAATAAACGTTGTCTTCTAACCTTTTTTGCTTAAGTGATCTTTAGGTGATTCGGACAACGTAGTTACAACGTTAGACAATATAGAGTTTTCCGACGTCAGTTTCAGGACCTATTCCAACGTTATGCAAACGTCGTCTGTTTTACTAATTCCAACGTTGTTTAGATTTCCTTATTCTTACGTTGGTAGGACGTCGAGTCACTACCTTTTTGCAACTGTATTGAACCATAACCTTAAATCTTAAATTTTCACTTCACTGTTCTGTTCAGTCAGACAGTTCAGTGCTGTTTTTGTTTTTATAAAAAAAAAATAATTAAAATGGGACATAAGAAAGGTACATATAAAACTAAATTTAAATATACATCGACATATATTACCGATAGTTTATCCACTCCCTCGTTTATTTAGATTATAGAGGGCGGCACAAGCTAGACTCTAGGATGACTAAATTAGGCAATCTTGCGACTAGTACACTACCTGTTAAGACCGAACTGCGACTTTATTAGTCCAGTATGCGACTACTCGAACTACTCCATCTTAATCTCCAAAACAACAAAGTGAAAGCCGCCATGTTGTTAAATAAGAAAATGTTTCGTTCCTAAAATAGCAATTCCTGCTTTTTGAATACATTAACTTGAAATATTTGACCCTAAAAAACACGCGGAAACAATTTTTTCGACTGCGAATAAATTATTCTCATTTTACTAAAAAAAAATTCAAGAAAATTTTTAAAACTTTAATTTTAAGGCCCATTAGTATTTTTCAAAGTAGAAACAATACATTTATCAATAAAGTTGTTTGCGTTTAATTTTTTTGCCTTGGGTAACGAGTTACAGAGTCGGTTAAAGTGTTTCAATAATTATGATCTTCAAATATCCTCCACACTTAAATACTTTTGTTTTGTTTTCCTTCACTGCCATCTGACATATGTCTCTAACTAAATCATAAAAATAATATTTTTACTATAATTATCCCAATTTAGGACAAAACGCGACTTAGACGCCATATTAGTTTTGTATTTCTGTGAATTAGGATTTTAAACAACGTTGGCAGTTTGTACTAAATTAGGCTTCTAGCCAACGTCGGTATCCAACGTCGTTTCAACCCAAGGATCATTCTCCAAACTAGTGCAGACTAGGGTTGGCACGAGGTTGTGCCGACGTTGTGCCCCGACGTTTGGTCGCGTGACACAACGTTATCCCGACGTCCAAATACTGCTTGGGTATGATAATTGTTAAATAACAAACAACATCGTTGCTGATCGCGGCGCAATGTCACTAACATGGTGGCAATAAAAATCACTTTAAACTAATTTTTGCAGCTTTAATCTAAATAAAATATCTGTTACAATTATTTGCTCTATGATGTAAAATGAGAAGCTGCTCAGTATCTTAAATTATACAACAAATTTAAACATTTTTGACAAAATTTCATTTAGTCAGGGTTACAGGTTGTATATAATTCAATTTCGATATGATTGATGACGTATATCGGAAAATGTTTTGCGATTACCGTACGTTGCCATATATTATGAAGATATTTTGTTTTTTAAATAAAAATTTAAAAAAATTCCAAGAAATTTTTCAAAAAAGTCCAAATTTAAAAAAAAACATATTACGAAAAAAACTCATAGACGTGTTTCTGGGGTCAAAATATACCCGTAAAAATATTTGCACTTATTTAAGACTCACCCTGTATAATTACTTACAAGGTATTATTTTTTATATTATTTACGACGTTTGACATGGTTTGAAATTGTTTAAAAATATATTTGTGACTTGAAAAAAAATAGCTGTTTTAAAAAAATGTTCTATTCGGAGTGAAAATGTACTTGTTGTGACTGGCTTGTAACGTCAAACGTACGGCCTTGCTACGAAAAGTATCATTTTTACTCCTAATGAAACAATACCTATACTATTATGTTTAATTTCTATCATAAATTGTTCCCGAACTACACCCGAATGTATACGAGGATCAACCTTTATATTATACTTATATTTTTATATACCTTTATATACTTTTTATAGAATATAAAACATTTTTCGGTTGTACTCTTTTTCTATACTAAATTCAAAAGATATAAGTAACTCATAATGCGAAAACATATGATGCTCCTTTAGTAATGTATCCATAAAATAAATTTTTAATTTTTTTTTAAACTAAATATAGAGTATTTAACGTACTAAAACGAAATAACGAAAATAACCGAAATTTAAATAAAATAAAGCTAGGTAGTGTGCGAAGGGGACAATTTGCGCGCACACGGCATGCATTCGAAGCTCAAAACCACCCAAAACGAGTTGATTATAAAGTTGAATTGCAGCTCTATAACAGTCTCATGCGGCATGCTCTACATTAACATTAAGCTCAGAATTATGTGTTAGACCAACTCTTGCTTTAACTCTAATAAACCGTTTTCGGTCGGCGAGTTTTAGTTTAGCCGGGTCAATTTTCATCGGGCCAAAGTGTTTTAAAGCAGCGCCGGATCGTTAGAGAGAAGTTTTGCCGCGGACTGTGCTTAAAATAACTGTTCTTTATGGTCGTTTCGTCTAAATACTTTGATACGCTTTTGTGTGGACCTTTATCTCGATGTAACATATTGTGCGAACTTTGAAAATTGAGAGTTATTCATTCGAGTTGTGCTGTGAATTTGTCTGTTCGTTTGATATGATGTGGTTTATTTTTTTTAGAAATTTGGTTTATTCTAAAAATTTTAAATATACAAGGTGTCAAATTCGACTCTTACCAATGGAATCTAGGAAGCGGTAAGAGACGAGGTGGCCTGATAGTGAGTCCAATGGCAATCCATTTAGTGAACTTATCTTTGTTCTTTTCGGAAATATGGCGGAAAAACTAAAATTTCGATTTTAGTTTTTATTTTTTTACGAATTTATTTTGACAGTTAAAAAACAACAAAACATTTTCAAAGAAATTGTTAGCTTAATCCCAAGGTTATTAAATTAAACAGGTTGCCTCGTAACTTGGTTTCTTGTAGACGTGTCTGTTTAAAAAAAAGTAAAGTGTTCTTGAATACCTAGTTGAATTTAAATATTTTAAATAGTTTTTTTCTTTATTCTTTGTATTTTATTGCTTCCGACGACGGAAAGAGATAAACTTTCCGAAACGTGAAGCATTTTTTTCTTTGTTAGGCAAATATTTATTACTGTAAACATAACTTCTGACAAGCAGTGTCCGGTTAGGTTTAACGCAGGAGTGTTTATAAAAAATAACTATTTTATTTTGTAGATTTTTCTTGCAGTGCGGTGGCGAAATACCCATAAAGGATTTTTTTGGAGAACTTGATATTAGTCACCATATTATTACATTTCGACTAGGTTTCGATATTTTTCAACGTCCCCCTAGCTGACGTAATCGCGCCAACTAGTGTGATTGGTCCGAAGTTACGAGGCAACTTGTTTAATATAATTACCTGGGATTTATCCTTTGGGGATGTCAAAAATCACTTAAAAGATTTCGTTTTTCTGGAACCATCAACTTTGTTTTTTTTAAATAGAGACCTGCATTTTTTATTATATTTTTCACAAGCTTATGACGTCCCAAATGCAATGATGTATCGTACTTACCCAAAAAAAAAACGTTATAAAAACGTTTAAAACTTTTTTTTAACGTTATTTAACTAACTAAAGTGACTCGTATACCCATCTCTCTTAAACACATTGCCTCTTAGGAGAATATTTTTCGTTTGGGCAAATGTGCTATATCACTGTTTTTGCGAGGCCACAAGCTTCTAAAAAATGAGATAAAAATCTCATATTAAAAAACTCCGTATTTAAAAAAAAAGTTGATGATGGTTTCAGAAAAACGAAACGTCGTAAGTGATTTTTCGCACCACCAAAGGATGAAGCTAAAATAGTTTCTTTGAGAATATCTTTAAAGAATTTTTCTGTCAAACCATTGAAAAAAAAATTGTTGGTTCAAAATAAACTCGTAAAAATAGAAAAAAATCACCGGAAATTTCAGTTTTTTCGCCATAAATCCGAAAGTGACAATGATAAGTTCAATTACTAAACGGATAACCATTGGGTTCATTAACAGGTGTAACTTTGCCTTAGTTTAACACTACTAAAAATAATTATTGCATATTTGAAAAAAAAGCAAAGTAATGAGAGTCCTTCGGGATAATTTTAGTTTTGAATTTCCTTTCACGGTATCCAAACTAATTAAAAAGGTAATCCAGAGAATTCAAGGTGTCTTTCACAAATTAATATATTTTTTAAAAGTAAGCGATAATTGTTTAGAGCTATATGATTTATTAATTATACCGGCTATAACTTTTTTTATTTTTTTAGATAATTCTAATTTCTTCTGTATACCGGGTGCGTCACACAAGTGGCTTTATTCAATTGTTTTTGGTCACTTCCTGTTTCACCGAAAATGACCAAACCAAACCAAACTTTTGATTTTTAAAAGGCCGGTATTTTTTATGGAATTTCTTTAATCGATGGAAAAAGACACTCTGAATAGAATGACATATCATATTTAAACTTTAGACATTTTAGCTTAAAAATCGTATTTTAAATTTCAATCTAGTGAGCCATAGCTGACTTAAAAACACTAATTTTTAATCAAGCAGCCTAACATCATTTTAATCAAGCAGCCTAACTATAAAAATATATTTGATCATATACCAACATTACCAAATCTCGTTTTTTATCTTAAAAAATAAAAAAAGTTATAGGGGTGAGCCCCTTTTGAGACGCACCCGGTATTTAAGTTCACACATGAAACCTAATTTTCTTAGAAAAATTTAGCAAAAATTCTAAATTATTTTTAATTTCAGTTTTCGCAAATAAATGTACAAATTAAGCAAATTCACACATAATTCTAAGCTTGTTACAGACTGCTTCAACTGTTCTCAATTATACATATAGTGACTATATTACAGTGATCGATCTGAATAAGTACCTTGGTTCCCCAAGTAAGTCACCCTACCGCAGGGTACCAAAGGCAACCCAAGAACATCCGGACTTTGAGAGCACAGAAACCTGAGGATGGTATCAAATGTTAGTAGTTTTATTGACAGACGACTAATATTAAAGATATTCTGCTTTATTTGCACAAATTGGGTGGTGTAGATTGTGGGGTTCATTTTTTATAGCAACGTGGACAGATAAAACATTAATTGAAAATTTATGTTTCATTCTTTCCATGTAATGCCCTACTTCTAGCCATAGGTGCAATACTAATTTGCGATAAGTTGATTGGTCTCTTTTTAAATAACGAATAATATTTCTAGCTTAAGGTAAATGTTAAATTATATTATCGTTATTAAAAAGGTACCGTAAAGTAAAATGTGCAAAAAATAATAGCAAAAATAGAAATAAATTAAACTAATAACACCCATTAGGAGCATACCTCTTACCTCAGCTTGTCCAACTCCTTTTTGCCAAAAATAAATAAGAACATAACAAACTAAACAAAAGCCAAACACGTGATGGTAGAATCAGTGAATAAATATATTTTTGAAGCAAAAATGTCAATACATTTCAATGAATACACCAAATAAGACATTTGAAAAGACAAACTACGTTGCAGACTGAAAAATTTAAAGCACTGAAGTATAACTGATGATATCTTTCTTAAGGAAATGAAAAGTAAGAAATAAATATAAGAAAAGTAAAAAGTTTTTCTATTAAAATTTTCATTAATACTTTAGAGTATTTTTTAATTTCATTTTTTATCTATTAAATTTTTCATTAATAGTTTTAGACTATTTTTTAATTTCAATTTTTTAGTATTATTATTTTTTGTAGTCAGTTAAATGTAGTAGAAATATTTGTTATTTTTTTTTTCTTGATAAAGGGATAATTATTTTTCAAATATTTTATGAGCCAGTACTTCACTTTCTAATTAAATCATTGTTTAACAAATCAACCTGTTAAGAGGATCGCAAAGTATATTTAATATTCTTTGAATAAAAAGATTAAGGAAGGAGTATAATGCTATACTTGGCCTTGATAGTTCTGTTTGACGGTTCATTTGACACATTTGAATTTGATTTGAAATTTTGTGAATTTGTTTATCTTTACCACAAAACATTCCCCTTTAGAACTTTTTCTTTAATGACCATAAATAAGTAAAAGAGCCCTGTGAACAAACACTAGAGGCGACACCGATCATCAAATGATGTAAAAATTGCGAAGATTTAATCATCTAATTTTGACTCAAGGGGACGCGCTTAATTTTTTTTTAATTTTAATTCAATTTTCATTGTTTTCAAACTATATTATTAGATTTTGTTGTATTTTGTGAATGTATAAATGTTTTCTTAGTATAAAGTTGCATTATATTAACTTAAATTATATTACATACATATTTAAAATTAAAATATTATGACATATGTGTCAGTTGCCGTTTAAAATATCATCTTGCTAACAAAAAGTTAGTTATTGTCAGAAATAGTTAAAATATTAAAATTCACAAGTTATAATTAGTAATTAGATGATTCTATTATATTTTATATTATTTCAAGAACAAAAACATAATCGTACAGCGTAATTTTGATATGCAGGTTCAGAACAAAAAGTGCTGTAATATTTTTGAGTTTTTGTTGTCAGCCGCGGAAGTTTCAGTGATTTTAGTGTTGTCGGATATTTTTATTTGTGAAAAAGAAATATTGCGTTTGGAATGCAAAACTAAAAGTGGCAGTTTTATTGCAATGTAAGTAAGTGTTTACAAGTGAGAAATGCATTTTTAAAAATGAAGAACGTCTTCCAGAATCCCAGATTGGACCTTGAGTTGAGAACTAAGCTTGTTAAGGTTATGTTTGGTCAATCCTATGATACGGAGCAGAAACATAGACACTGAAAGTTCAAGAGATGAATCGCCTCGAATCGTTCGAAACATGGATATATCGAAGAATGCTTTAAATTCTATGGACAGCCCATATCACAAATACCGAAGTCTACAACAGAATAGGCAGAGAAAGAAAATTGCTCAATATAATAAAAATAAGAAAGACATTATAATTGGGGCATATATTGAGAAATGAAAAATATCACAACAGTCTTACAATTGATAGTTAAGGGTAAGGTTGAAGGAAAGAGAGGTCTCGGCAGGAAGAAACTATCTTGGTTAAAAAACATCAGAAACTGGACTCACCTAACTTTTGAAGAACTCATAAGAAAAGCCGAGAATCGTGAAAATTTTGCCAATGTGATCGAAACGCCAACCTCCACGAAAGAGACGGCACGTAAAGAAGAAGAAGTAAGTGTTTGTCCATTTTATATTTTACTTTTTTCACACTTACGATAATATAATTGACATACCTAATTGTTTTGTAATATATTCCATTTAAATGTAATATATCACTTTACAATTAAAAAAAAATATATTAAAAATATATACAGGCAATAATTGAAATTTTTAGTATGCGAACAAACACGAGAGGTGCTTTATTTACTTTCATTTTCTTAACATGACAGATAAAGTTCTAAAGGGGGATGTTTTGTGGTCTTTACTGAGCTTTTTTTTATGTTATTTATTATTTATTCTACAACTGGTAGTTATTCAAGAGGTGGTAGATCTGAAAGGAAATTTTGTGCTAGAACTTAAATTAATTGCGATTTATCAAAAAAGACTGTAAAATAGTTGGTCGTGTAGCGTGCGGTAGATCTCGGTCAAAAATCGATGGAAATAATAGAATAACTTTTCACTGGTAAGTGACTATACAAGGCGAGTCTTAAATAAGTGCAAATATTTTCAGGGCTGGTAGATCTCGATAAAAGAAACATATTTTCTCTTTACCATTTTTCAGATAAGTACAAAATAACCGAGTTATTTAAGTTTGAATATTTTAAAAAAATGATTTTTTTTTGGAAAAAATTTTGAGAGCCACCGGATTTTTTTCTGTATTTGCATCCTTTTTAGTGCCGTAACACATAACTATGGTAATATCAGAGATTAAGAAATTATACCGTGAGAAAATTTGCGGTAAACAGGCAGTTCTAAAAAGTTTTCGAAAAATATACAGGGACAGAAAGAAAATGCATTATTTTCAACATCTTTTTTTGCGAAAAAAGCCTCATAGACGTGTTCCTGGGGCGCTATTCTGTACAATCGTCGGTATCGGCAAGTTACCGACAGCTATCGGTACGTACGGCCAATGATTGTTTGTCGTGTTGATTGTTGTTGTCATAGTTACCGATCGGCCCTATGACAGATGTCTCAAATTTGTACCGACGACTCTCGGTATCTCTACCGTGAGGTTGACAAGGGCACGGTAGAGATACCGATTTTCGTCGGCACAAATTTGCGATATCTGCCATAGGACCGATCGGTAACTATGGCAACAACAATTAACACATTTTTACTATATACAAATACGTATCGAGAGCTGTCGTAACTTACCGATCCCGACGATTTTACAGAATCGCGCCCCTGGGGTCGAAATATACCGCCCCTGAAAATATTTGCACTTATTTAAGACTCACCCTGTATAATATACATATGTGTAGTAAACCTATCATTTATAAAATTGACTGATTATATTTTTTATTGCATTTTTGCTTTTATTTACTACTTGTCAAAGATTAGATGTCAAAGAATTTAGATACGGCAGTTTGACTTACCTGCTTCAGTAGCGTATCGGATGTTTGTGGTAATAAATACTTATTATAACTTATCTATTTTTATTAGAATTATATGTATATTTTTAAAATAATTTTAATAACTACCAATATTTATTTGACAACGTAAAATAAAACAATAAATTTTTGAGTCTACTCCACATCATATTTTTACACGTTTTAGATAAAATTAGAGCGGCACTGATAAACCGGAATTTAACGGATAAACCCGTTTTTTGACATGCTCCTTCCTTAATTTTATTATAAATTATTAATTACTTATATTACAAATTAGACGCAACGCAAAAAATCTAAAAAAAAAACTAGCTAAAAACATAAGATGAACATAGCAATATTTCCTTGATTAATGGTGCTAATCAGTGTCGTTTTCTATAGCACGTTAGCTTCTCTAACCATGGTTAAAAATAAATAACCCATATTGAAAATACTGTAGAATAAAATAAGTAAATAACCGAATGTTCATTATTAAATTTAGCCTAACCGGAAACGAAAATACTGACCCTTAATGATTCTAAATTTTAAACATCCTGAAAGAAAAAAATCTATTTTTTAACTAAACAAAAGTGCCTGTACAGGGTGAGTCAACGATAGAGTAAAGTCCATTATCTCATTTGTTTCGAGGTTTACAAAAAAAAATTAAAGATAAAAGTTATAGGGACGGTTAGGATACACATTTTAAAATTATTATAGAGTATACAGGGTGCTTCAAAAAAGTGTGACGAATATAACATATGTTTTTTTAAATGGAATGCCCTATTTTTTATTTTATTTTTAGATTCTGCGTAAAATTCCATAACTTTTTTGTATATAATGTTATATACCTAAATTTAATAGTTTCTGTAATATTTAAATTTGAATCTGAAGTTGGAGAACCAAAATTTGGTAGGAGAATTTAATAGCGATATAGAAAAAGACCTATGTAAAGATATTTTAGTTAAATGCTACAGGGTGTTGAAAATATATTTATGAATTTCGACTACTTAAAATTGAGAAATTTCAAATTTTTTAAATGGTACACCCTATATATTATCATTTTTTCTGATAGATTTTACAAAACTCTTCAACTTTTGTTAACTATGTCATAATATACTATTTTTAATAGTTTGCGATTTATTCCAATTTTTTTCTATTTTTGCCCATATTTTTATTATAATTACGCTATAACATCATAGTTGCCATGACAAAAAATAATAATTATCAAAATTTGTTGTCTGTTAAGCAAGTTAAGAACAAAATTTTAATTTTAGTTTAATATGTTGTAATAAGTATAAATTGTAGAGATATATAGTTACAGATTATCCTGAAATGAATTAGTCAATGTGACTGATATACACGAACAAGCCAAGAAAAACATATTTTTTGGTCCAGTACTAAGGGTACTATATATTATATAGGGCTTTGCTAAGTAGTATAAGAATTAGATGTAGATTATCTAGAAAATATCTTCAGTGTGTAATGGGACGGTTTCACGGCAGTAGTAATATTGGCTTTACTAAATGAATTATAAACTAGAATTACTACGAGAAAAAAAACTTTACTGTATGTCGAAAAAAATTCCTATATTAGTAGTCTTCAACAATTAGATAATCTAGTATTACCTTAATCCGTGGCTATTCGCCCCGACGCGCGACGGAAAATCCAAGTGTCCTCTTTCATAATATGGAAATACACCAAGAAATTCACGACTGCGGTTTTACTTTATTTGAGTAAAGTTAATTAACTTTAACTAATACCAGCAATTGTAACTAATTATTAAGCTACTTGTTAAAGATAAGTAATAAATTGTTTTGTCATGGCAAATATGATTTTATAGGGTAACTGTATTAAAAATATGGGTAAAATAGAAAATATTGGAGTAACTCGCAAACTATTAAAAATAGGTATATGACATACTTAATAAAAGTTGAAGAGTTTTGTAAAATCTATCAGAAAAAATGATAATATATAGGGTGTCCGATTTAAAAAATTTGAGATTTTTTAATTTTAAGTAGTTGAAATTCATAAATATATATTGAACACTCTGTATCATTTAACTAAAATATCTTTATATATATTTTTTTTTTCATCTCTATAAAACTCTCGTATCAAATTTTGGTACTCCAACTTCAGAAACAATGGCACCACTGACAATTTTTACCATACTGCAATTTAACATTTGTTTAAGCAAATTGAAATATTACAAAAACTATTGATTTTACGTATATAACATTATATATAAAAAAGTTATGGAATTTTACGCAGAATCTAAAATTAAAATAAAAAAGAGGGTGTTGCATTTAAAAAAACATATGTCATATCCGCCACACTTTTTTGAACCACCTTGTATACTCTATAATAATTTTAAAATGTGTATCTTAACCTTCCCTACAACTTTTATATTTAATTTTTTTTGTAAACCTCGAAACAAATGAGACAATGGACTTTACTCTATCGTTGACTCACCCTGTACATGTTGAATCTGCATTAATCTATGTTAATATTATATTTATGATAAATTTAGCAATTTGTATTCTTTGGTGTATTCATATCGATTTCAAAAAAATAAATAAATAAGAAAGCCATTATCACAAATTCTATTGCACTTGCTACCACCACCAATGTAGTGATAATAGATCATATTCCCCATTTTGCATTAAAATTTCGAATAACAGCCGAGAAAATAAAAAATAAACTTACTTTTCTCGTTCTTCCATTTCCAGTGGGTTATTGTCTGAATGTTAGCGAAAAAAAAACAAAAATTTGTTAATAAACACAACAAAATAAATACGTTAGTTAAAAAATTTGTATATTATACATCTGGTATATATTATGTTAGGTATTAGAACTAATTACAGACTAATTATTTCTAGTATTAGATAACGTAATGGTTATTGTATATGTATATGGTATCCTAATAATTGTGTTGATATTATTTATTCTTGTTAAATATATAGGTTGTATTAGTTGTTGGTTTCAGTAAAATTGATTGATGATTCATTTGATTTTAGAGGGCAGCACATTAAATTAAAACAAATAAGTGTTTGTATTTATATGACATCAGAACTTTAAAACACTATTCAATTTTATATTTTTTATGAGGATACCATAAACGTAAAGAGTTTTTATCGATTTTATATAAGGAACTAATACACCATTTTATAAGGTATCTTCACTTGTCTTTAGCTTAACTTCTTCTTGATGTTTCTGTTTCTTTTTTAAGAGTATCATTTCATTTTCCAAACACGAAATATTTAAATCTATTTTCAGGATAAATAGTGGGATACAGGAATAGGGACGTAATACTGAAAAACGACTCACATTTGGTGCTGGCTCTCTTCCTTCTGCAGAGAACGATGATAACGATGCAGATTATTATAACGCAGATGATGATAGCAACTATTGCCGCAATAATGATAATTAATTTTTCTTGGTTTAGTCGTTTCCACCAGGGCAAGATTCCTGAAAATAAAAATGGGTTTATGAACATTGTTTCTTAATAAACAATATACAGGGTGGTCCAAACTGTATTCCGGAAACTTCGACAGCATATTGTGAAGTTAAAAATAAGTAAAAAAGTTCGTATAAATGTATGTTCTAAAATGCTTAGTTTCGGAGATACTGGGTGTAGAAGTTTCATTTTAATTTTGTGGTCTTCCGAATAATTTCCGAAGTAACGTCAATATTTGGATGAAATTAGTGTCTAGGTGTTTTTTGACATGAGAAATTTGATTTTCGTGTCAATATGACTCCTACTTGTAGGGGGCGCCACCTACATGTGTTTTAACCGTTTTGAAGAGTAATAACTTTTCGTTCGTACCTGTATAAAACTATACATTTACGTGACATTTTACGTAAAAAATGTCTCTTGGTAAAAATCGCTAGAGCAACCGTTATTCACTCAAGATATTTAGAACGGAACAGTCAATACATGTCATTATTGACAAAAAATAAACTCGTTCAGTAGATAGTTATATGACTGAAATAATAAATTTGGGAAATTTTTATTTTTTTAAATTAATCATAAATTTTTCTGCGAAAAAATGCTGATAAAACAGTTTCTGTTGAACTTTTGGCACAAAAGCATTTCAAATTTATAATTTCAGTTTAATAACTATTTAGTCAACATGTTTAATTAATGTCAATGATGACAGGTATTTATAATTTCTATTCCAAATATCTCGAGAACCATTATTCGTAGTGATTTTCACCAGGAGACTCTTCAGACCAGTTAAAAAATATGTAGATGGCGCCCTCTACAAGTAGGAGTTATATTGACATCAAAATCCAATTTTTCATGTCAAAAAACTCCCAGATACCAATTTTCATCCAAATATTGACGTTACTTCAGAAATTATTTGGAAAAAATCGAAATAAAAATGAAACTTCTACACCCTGGATCTCCGAAACTAAGCATTTTAGGACATACATTTATATGAACTTTTTTACTTATTTTTATCCGCAGAATATGCTGCCGAAATTTTCGGAATACAATTCGGACCACCCTGTATAATATGCCTATTAATTATAATTACTAGGATATACACAAATCCAACAATATAATTATATACAAAAGTATGACGTTCATCCAAAATTAATAAAAATTATTTCTAAAAGAGTGAAAACTAAATAATACTACAAAGACGCGTATTGATTTTTAGGATTTAGAATTTTTGATATCTAAAACCGTATGAAAATTTGGAAAAGTATAAACGGGATTAACTATTTTAAAAAAAGCAAATATTTTTATTTATTAATTAATAAAAACGTATTTCTCTTGTAAATATGACCCGGAGATAATGAATGTTTACCACACTCGTGAGAGGTTGGTTGTTTTTCCTGAAATGGAGGGACAAACAAAACGTGGACTTTTTCACGCCAGTTCACGGCAAGAATTATATAATTTATTTATCATTAACTAACTTATCTAAAGGAGGTATAGTAAAAATCACGAAAGTTTTACTCGATTCAACATTTGACATCGTGTAAGGTAAACATTTGAGAGTAATACAAAGAATACCTGAGTATACATAAAAATCTAATTTGTGGTGGAGGTCATCGTACGGTCAGTATTTAAAATATTTTTTTCTAAGAGAAATTAGTTTTCTGTTATACGAGCCCTAACAACTAAATGTTCGGACAAACAAAAATTTATTAAAAATTTTTATTTTCTTTAACTGAATTATTTACATTTAAAAAATACATTAAAAATGTATTAAAATCTAACATTTCTAATGAGTATTTAAATAGTTTAGTTTCTATAAACATTAAAATAAACTGTAGGCCAATAAATAAAGAAAAAGATTGCACAATATCGTGACAACTAAATGTTCGGACACTTTAAAAAATAACTGTTCTAATATGCCGTTACATCGGCATGAACTTTTGCAACCACTGCAAGCCTGTTTAGCATTGTTTTTATTAATGATTGACATACGCCAGAGTAGAAATTTTGCCATAATTCGCTTAATATCATCGTCAAATGGGCAACGGTTTCTTGGGGATCGTGGTACAATTTTTGTTTTGTTTTATGCCACGTCTCGATAACATTAAGGTCCGGACTGTGCGAAGGCCATGAGGGGACCTTGATGTTCATGTCCCTAAACCATTTGCCCCGCCATCCTGTTGAAATATAAAATTATTGTTCTGGTCTTTGCCAGAACAATTGGTTACAAGGAACTTTGTCCTTCCCACTTGACACAAGATTATTTTTCAAATTTTTTTGATTTTTTGACGCATCAATTATGCCTTCTACCACCTCATACTTTTCTGGGCCTATTTTAGACATACTCCTTCAAATCATAATGCCTTTAGGAAATTTCACTGCCCTTTTGAGGCAATCTTTATCAAATAGATACTCTAGCGGTGTTAATTATATCGATATTAAGGTGACTCATGTGCACATGTAATCCGTGCACTTACCATTTGCGATTGGAATTATTAGCGTCGGATTGGGAAATTAATTAAATATTTTACCTTAATGTCATTTTTGTAGTTTGTGACATCAGAAGTTCCAATCCGACGCTGATAATTCTAATCGCAAATTGCAAGTTCAAGGATTATATTTGCACGCATGAATGATCTTTATGAAAGATGGACAGTGGAATTTCCTAAAGACATTATGCTTTTAGAGTTTATGTCCACAATGGGTCTAGGAAGGTATGAGGTGGTAGAAAGGCACAAAAAATGTGTCAAAATATCAAGAAATTTTGAAAAACAGTTTTGTGCCAAGTGCGAGAGACCTTTAACAGGATATGAATTTTATATTTCAACAGGATAACGGGGCATGCCATATGGCTAAAACTACTAAAAAATGGTAGCCTTTCTCATGGCCTTCGCACAGTCCGGACCTTAATGTTATCGAGACGTGGCATAAAACAAAACAAAAATTGTGCCACGATCCTCAAGAAACCGTTGCCCATTTGACGATGATATTAAGTGAATTATGGCAAAATTTTTACTCTGGCGTATGTCAATCATTAATAAAAACATTGCCAAATGGTTGCAAAATGCACTGGTTGCAAAAGTTCATGCCGATGTAACGCCATATTAGAACAGTTATTTTTTAAAGTGTCCGAACATTTAGTTGTCTCAGGATATTGTGCAATATTTTTGATTATTTATTGGCCTGCAGTTTAGATTAATGTTTATAGAAACTAAACTATTTAAATACTCATTAGAGGTGTTAGATTTTAATATATTTTTAATGAATTTCTTAAATGTAAATAATTCAGTTAATAAAAATAAAGGTTTTTAATAAACTTTTGTTTGTCCGAACATTTAGTTGTTAGGGCCCGTATAACCTACTTTTTTTCTAATGCACTTCATTACTTTTCAGTAATTTACCCTTTTTTTAAAGTAAGGTTATTTTGGATTTATTTTTTGAAAACGTCAAAGAGGAAATATGTTTCTTTCATCGAGATCATAGACAAACTAACAAAAGCAAGACTTTTCAAAGGATTGAGGAAGTCGAATTATTGTTTTTGCGCTGGCCAGTTGAGTCAGAAATCATCGCGCAGTCGCACTCGTCAAACCTAACCTAAATAAAACGAAAAACGTTTTTGCCTTGAACCATCCTTGGACGAACTGTTGAATTCCTGATTTTGCGTTTTGTTTGGTTATTACTATTATTTTATTAGCGTACAAAACGAAAACAAATAATTTAATGCATTTTACATTTATGAAGAACATAATAATTACTGTGATTATACATATTATTGTGATTACATCGCTAACGTAGACAAAACGAAGGTCCTACAAATTGACTGTAAGTTATAAGAATCTTTATCTTTTTAATCTTTTTATGATTTGAATTTTCGTGCTTTATATTTTATAATAGACTCGAAATGTTAATATTTTTGCAAATTCTTGTGAAAATGTGAAGTTTATGTTTTTGTTTTATATTTGAAAAAGTTGTATATTTTTAAGATGTTTCTTGTTGTTCCTATTATTAATATTATAATATATATATAATTATTTTTTTATACCTTTTGAAGAATAATGCTTTTATTTCGTTTACCATCACTGTTGTTTTTTTATCATCTTTTTTGTTATTTTAATAAGAGGAATACGTTTTCGTTTATTTAACTTTTGTTTTTATATCTGTAATGTCCAGAAATTATTGTTTATTTTACCGATGGAAATAAATTTATTTGATTTTAATAAACGCTTTTTAATTAAACATCCTTGTCTAAAAGGCTACTACAAAATACACAATCCATAAGTAAACCGTCCTCGTTTAAAAGGCCAGTTGACGCAAGCGCGGTAATAAACTCTTATCAAACTTGTTACCGTTTTGCAGTACAGCGTTGACGCGTCTTGCTTTTGTTAGTTTCTCTATGATCGAGATCTACCAGCCCTGAAAATATTTGCACTTATTTAAGACTCACCCTGGAAGTAAACATGAATTTAGTTACGTATTAGAGTACGGCTCTTCTGCTACTCCTGCTATCTATTTTTTCCTTAAAAATTAAAATATTGACTGCCTTGACACATAGTTTTTCATTATATTGGAAAAGTTACATGAGAAAAATGTTATTAAGGCAAATGCAAACTTTAATTCATATTAAAAGAGAAACAGTTTAATGAACATCTAAAATAACTATATTTTCATAACTGGTAGAACTCCGATACTCATATCTTTTAAAATATTATATAATTTGTCAAATTTTATATACAACACTTATATGGTGGATTTGTATAATCTAGCTTGTTTCAATTTTTTAAATGAATAAATATAACTAAATAAATATTTATACGCAAAAGAATACAAACAAATAAAGGCAATTGGGACAAAAATAAAAATGTAAAATATTTAGGTTTAGAATAATAAATAAAAATAATACGAGTTACGAAATACAGCTGCCTCGTATCTTGTTCAATAGTGTTTTTATTAAATGAAGCAGTGATTTGAGTGCCATAATTAAATACGTGGATGGGACATTGTTTTTACACTGTACCTGTATCTTCAATGAAATCAGATGGATCATGTATTCCTAAAATATTAAGTAGTTCTCGTAAATTTGTTTCAAAAGGGTTATACTTCTCAAGTTTAAGTTGCTATCTTTGAAAAATATTTCACAAAGTTTTTACTGGTTTGTTATATAAACTGAGACTGTAAGATTGTTTCACTCACCTGCCACGTCCATTTCGCATGGTTGCTTGTCACTGAATCCAACAGAATTGTTAGCAAAGCATTGATAGGTCCTTTTAGTGTCCACTGTTGAATCTAGTATTAGGAAGCTCTTTAAACCGTCCTGAATGACGTTGTTGGTTTCGGTGTACGTTTCGTTGCCTTCTTTAGCTTTCCAGAAGAAAACCACTTCCTGAGGATTGGCCTGGACGGTGCACAGTAGAGCTGGACTGCCATCCTTTTCAGTGCGGGTTATCGAACATTCAGGAGCGTCTAAATTTGAAAAATGAAACCACAATTAAACAAGAAATATTTTTGGAAAAATGAATTAAAATTGGTCTATTTAATACACTTTTAATATACAGGGTGTCCCAATATTCCGTAGATATCGAACTATTACGTATTTTTGGAATCAAAATAAGTTGAACACAATTTACCTCTATAAAAAATGCTTCGTTTGCCCGTTAGAGGACATCAAACTTTAAAAAAATAAACACATTTTTTCAGATACTTTAAGAACCGTTATTCTGATTTGAATGAAATTGTGGTTGTGTATGTTTTGTTATGTGCTTTAATATTTGATTTTATCAAACATCAAGAAAAAGTACGGGAATGGTGAGAACTACCCCAGCCCTACATAAATTTTAGTAGAAGTATTTTTTAACTCCACCGCTGACAGATTTTCTTTTCGTGTAATGGTTCCTCTAGTATTTACTACATTTTTTGTCTCTTGTAAAAAAACGCCACATCGCATAAACTAACATAAAATTCCATATTTTCGCCAACTTGATATTAGAGCATAACAGATTTTATGCTTTTCCATAAGTTGATGTGACAAAAAACGTTTTATGGAAGTCAGCTTCGGGAAAATATTTTTTCCTCAAAAAGTATGCGCGGTGGTGTTTTTTTACAAAAACAAAAAATTTAGTAAATACTAGAAGGACCATTTTACAAAAAAAAATCGGTCGTAGGTTAAGTTGGAAAGTATTTATACTAAAAGTTATGTAGGGGTGGGGGTAGCTTTCACCCTTCCCGTACTTTTTATTGATTTTTTCAGAAAGTTTCATTCGTATTGGAATAACGGTTCTTAAAATATCTAAAAAATATGTTTATTTTTTTAAAGTTTGAAGCCCTCTAGCGGACAATCAAAGCACTTTTGTATAGAGGTAAATTGTGTCCAATGAACTTATTTTGATTCCAAAAACACCTAGTAGTTTCATGTCTACGGAATATTGGGACATCCTGTAGGTATAAGGCGCCGCCGCGGCGCCACAAAGCTATGTAGTAATCAAGACTAATCTGGACGGGGCCTACTTTGTTTCGGAGGAATTTGAACCGCGATCCTCGGCTATATCATTTTCAATAGCCACCGACTTGTTTAAATTGACTTACGAGATATCCGATCTTGCCTCGAACCGCCGAACAATAATATTTAAATTCTTTTCATGAAACAACAGCACGAGATAGTTTCCAGACGGTCGCCCGTCGTTCAACTCGCATCGTCTAAAGTCGCTTAACTTCGGTGATCTATCGGGAAGCGACGTAGCGGGCCGTTGCCCCACCAGGTATATAACTTACAATAAGATTGACGTTAGTTTTCTTGCAAACTTTTTGAGTGGTCTTACTTCTATGTGTATAGCTTATGTAGTAGCGGGAAATATTAAAGTATTGACACGCTATTATTATGTTATTCTCGTTAGACGGTTTACAAATTAATATTGGTTCAATGGAACTTACATTGCACATTGAAATAAACTATCGCATTCTCCTTGCCGTGCTTGTTGGACGCCTCACAAGTATAACTTCCAGAATCTGAGCGCATCATAGGCCCCAAACGCAACTCTTCTCCGTAGTCTTTAGGCTCTGCGGTGGCGTTCTTCTTCCACTTATACGTAAGATTGGGGTGACCTTTTCCATGACATTTGACAGGACTTGGAGATTGGCCTTCTACGACGTTGATTAGATTCGATGAAACGCGTACGTCTTCAGGGGGATCTAAAAGAGAAAATAATTGTTATTTCAAATAGAAAAATTATATTAGACCAAATAATAGCAGGTTTAGTCATAAGTCAATTAACAAAAACAACATCCTCTTCACAAAAAGGCCTTAAAACTAGCATCATATGACATTGGAATACAAGGAAATCTCCTTTATAAAATATTAAAATACATATCCAACGACATTACTTTTTTAAAACATTTTTTTTTAATTTACTAGGACTAATTTCTACATTGTTGTTTCGAGTCACAGTTATTGAGTTACTGTTTCATCGAGCTCGAAACAACAATGTAGAAATTAGTCTTAGTAAATTAAAAAAAATTGTTTTAAAAAAGTGATGTCGTTGGATATGTATTTTAATATTTTATAAAGGAAATTTCCTTGTATTCCAATGTCATATGATGCTAGTTTTAAGGCCTTTTTGTGCAGAGGATGTTGTTTTGGCTAATTGACTCAGTCAAACTGTCCTGATAATGGGAATAAAATTCTCGAAAGCTTGATATATTTAAAAAAGTTGTTTTATTTGCCTGTGTGGTGATTATTTACTGCATCCTCCCTTAAATTTTGAGTTTTTTCTTAGATCAAATAAATAAGTGAAGATCTATGGTGTTTATTAATATACCGAGTGCGTGTTAGAAGTAGCTCACCCCTATAACTTTTTTACTTCTTCATATAAAAAAAGAGATTTGGTATGTTAGTATATGATATATTTGGGTTGATGGATGGATTCAATTGTTTTTGGTCACTTCCTGTTTTACTAGAAATGACTACAACTTTTGATAGAAAATGGCACTCTGAATAGAATTACATATCATATGTCAACTTTTGCAACTATAGGATTGTTCCAGTATTTTGAATTAGTCCATCTATACGTTTCTGTTATTTAATAAATAATTAAAAGGTGCTCAAAATTGCAACTGAACATGTTGTGAAAGCCGGGAAGAAAATTAGCCGTGATTATGTAAATATTCCTTTTCTGTATTCAACACTATAGCTGAATTGAATAATAGAAGTTTTTTACATTGTAACAATGTTGATTCCTCTGTATACTGTTTGACAGTTAATACACAGATTTAATAGATAAAATTAAGAAGGAAGAAATCAATTCATATAGAGACATGCAGTATTAAAAGATAAGAGTAGAAAACATTTTAAAAATAAAATAAAAAATACAGGCTTGTGAAAGAAAGGGAAGTTTAAGTAGAAATACTAGTCTAACTATAAAGCTGATTAATTATTTTGGTGAAACCTGTAACTCAAATTCGGACCAAACTATTTTTATATAGATGAGTAAGAAAAATTATTTATTAATACGTTCTTAATACGCAAATTTATTATTCATTATTATGTGGCAGTATTTCTAATACTTACAATCGACAGCTATTTCGATGGTGGAACTGACTCCGGGTCCAATTTGGTTCGATTCGCTTTGACAGGTGTAATTGGAGTTGGGGTCAGTACGGTTCAGCCTCTGGCCCGGCCTAGCCGTCATATTCCATATCTGGAAAAACAGAAGAAGAGGTTGAGTGTGAAACCCACATTGCGGTCGTCGGACTGAAGATGAATTATATATCAAGACATTTGGACTTGTTAAGTGGATATTTTAGGTATTTTTTCGTACATCTATTTATTTTTATCGTTCGTGTATAGAACTAAGTTCAGAGCTTATTATTTTTACTGTTATTAATTTCATAAGATTTTTATTTTTTTTTATTGGTTATATTTTATAAATAAGTGCGATTCATAGTCTGTAGTATTATGCAGACCTATTGGAATAAAATAGGACTTTTAAAGTTAAAAAATTGATGGTTAAAGAAATTTCATATGTATGGTTATCTATAATATATATTCCGATTTTATTATTATAGTACAATCCTATACCTGTAGAAATATATCTCTCCTAATATAAATTCCTATAGGGGTATTTCGCCACTGCAAGAAAATCTCCAAAATAAAATAGTTATTTTTTGTAACCACTGCTGCGTTAATGCAATAAAAAGAGAATTTATTCAAAGAAAACACACATAATCACAGATAACTGCGCGCGGAATGCGCGCGGTGTCTTCACCGGCCGTCCCAAATAAACAACGAATATACAGGGTGGCGCACCTCATTCGTCTCGGTTGATTATACGAAAACGGAAAGATGTAGGGAGGGAATGTGCACAATTTAAAATTATTTTGAAATGTACAGGGTGTTTCAGAACTAAGATCCATACCAAAGTTATATTTTTTCTTATGGAACACCCTGTATTTTATTTCATTTTTGGATTCTTGGGCCCAAAAAAGGTATTAATTATAAGGGTTAAATATGTTTAAAATCTTTGGTTTTTCAGATATTTAAAGATATTTAAATTTGCATGCTACAATGGAATAGGTTATTAACACCCTGTATATTACTTTTCAGAATTAATTCTTGTGCTGAGTTTAAAGGCAGAGAAATAAGCTTTAGAGAAAAATGTTATTCCTTCCTTAAATGTATACAGGGGTATCAAAAATTGCTGGTCTATTTTAAATATTTATTTTACATAAAAACTTTGTTATTTCAAACGCAACACTATGTATTTTTTTAAATAAGTCGAAGCAGTTTTAAATGCTCTTTCAAAATATATTAGGATTTCCTATACCTATCTGGCTCAGATTTTGAATAAAAAGGGATTTTTCAATAAAATTGTAATCAAGATGGCTAGTGCTGTCACAGGAAGTTTCTAGTGACAGTTAGTAGCTATTTTCAAAATCGAAATTAGTTTATGGACTTATTTAAATTTATATCAGTTTACTTTTATTTAATTTACCTACAATAGTTTAATAAATAATATTTATTAAATATGTGTTTATTATTCAATCAAGAAAAACGAAGAAGTAGTTCTTTGAATTATTTTACGATGACTTGTAGATATATGCATTTTCCATAAAAGAGCCAACTACGGCAAATTCATTTTCTTCACTTCCAACGAGAGGTTTCTGCCTAATAGGTTTTTTATAAAGCACACTACCAGCTCTGCAAAATAGGCCAAGCAGTTTTTCAAAGAAACGCTTATCAGGAAGATTCCTCTTTGTATATCTTTGAGCATAAGCCCTTGAGGCCAAGAAGCAATTTTCCTCACAAAATAATATCACTAGTAACATATCTATTCGTTCCGCCAGCAGATACTGTTTTATTTCTCTTGATAAAGTAATAAATACTTACTTATTAAACTCTTGTAGGTAAATTTAAGTAAACTGTTATAAATTATAAATAATAATGTCCATAAACTAGTGTCGACTTTGAAAATAGTTACTAACTGTCACTAGAAAATTGCCATGGCGACACCAGCCATCTTGATTACTATAATTTTACTGAAAAATCGCTTTTTATTCAAAACCTGAGCTAGATAGGTATAGGAAACCCTAATATAGTTTGAAAGAGCATTTGAATCTGCTTCGATATGTTTACAAAAAGACAGGGTGTTGCATTTGAAATAACGAAGTTTTTATATAAAATATATCCTTAAAATAGATCAGCAACTTTTGATAGCCATGTACAAATTTAAGGAACCAGTACCATTTTTCAGTAAAGTTTATTTCTCTACCTTTAAACTCAGCATAAGAATTAATTCTGAAAAGTAATGTACAGGGTGTTAATAGTCTATTCTATTGTAATATGCAAATTTAAATGTCTTTAAATATCTCGAAAACCAAAGATTTTAAACATATTTAACCCTTATAATAAATACCTTTTTGGGCCCAAGAATCCAAAAATGAAATAAAATACTGGGTGTCCCATAAGAAAAAATATAACTTTGGTATGAATCTTAGTTCTAAAACACTCTGTATATTTCAAAATAATTTTAAATTGTGCACATTATCTCCCCACATATACCCATAAAATATTTTGTTTCTACATCTTTCCGTTTTCGTATAATCCACCGAGGCGAATGAGGTGCGCCACCCTGTATAATAAAGTGGAGCGTTAAAAAACCGATAGGAAATGGTTCGCGACAAGCGGTTTGCTGCGCAACTTGAAAACACGTACTAATACAGGCGAATCGGTGTGCGCTAATAAATACGCATTTTTAGGAGTCAACTTGAAAGAGCAAATAAGGGACAGCCATACGTGTAAAAAGTAAAAGATACTGTTAAAGAGTGGCAAGCCTGAAGTGTCAATGGATGCCACCAAAAAGTCACATTATGGAGACCAATGAGAACTACAAAAAGTGTTATAAACGTTAGAACTGTGCCAGGAAGACAATGGATGAGAGTGGCTAGAGATCGGATAGCATGGAAAAACTTAGGAACCAAGCTTAAAAAGAAAGAAAGAGAAGAATCTACTTAAAACCCTTTTAAAATATTCTTTTATATTCTGTATAATTCTTAGTAAATACCGTATGATTGAAAAAAACGGGGTCAGCGATGGCTATGAAAGGAAGATCGCTGTCATTTTATACGAAAATTTATATGGGAAATGTCACCGATCGTCATTTCCCAGCCAACTGGAATCCGTTTTTTTTCGATCATACGGTACATTTTACTTCATCAATTAAGAAAATAATTTAAACAAAACTGTCTAAATAATTGAAAATAATTTTCCCTTACGCAATTAAATAATTCGGCTAGTTTATACTTTAATAAAAAAAAATCACAATCACAAAATATTTTTGACCGAAAGTTCCAATATTTTTAAATTAAAAATAACTTTAAAAATATTAATAAAAAACTTTTGATCTAATCTAATTATGTCACAGGTAAATTCTTTAAAAAAAAAACATTCTCGAACTTTATAAAACTACGGCAAAGATTTATTTATAGAGAGCTTTAGCGAACGAGTATGCAAAAAGTTTTTCGGTTCTGAGCGGTTTCATAAACTAGTAAGCTGGGAACGAGCTTAAGAGCTTTGTGTTATAAAGGAAACACGATTTTACAGGGATATTACATAAAGTAGGCCTTCAAGAGCGTTTGTTCGAAAAGTCCTTTATGTTCCTTTCAATATTGAACGAGCTGATTGGAAACAGAAATTATAAGGTTTCCAGATTTTTTTTTATAAACTGCATATTGTGGGTTTCAGGTAGAATTTTGTACACTGTTTATTCTAAGCTTTATATTTTATATAATATATAAAAAAATGTTTAAAATTCAATGTTTGTTTATAGGACACTGTGTATATATCTTATCTTCTATTTTTACTTTTGTTGGTATACTTTTTTTTAATTTTTTTATATAATAATGTTCGTCAGAATGACAGTTTTCAGATGACAATTTTAAGTAGTGATCGACATTTGTACTTTAAAATATAGTAATAAATAATTTTATTTTTAAATAGAATTAATGGGGTTGTTTTATAAATTTTATTATATTTTTTTATTATAACATATAATTAATTTATACTTACAAGTGTAGACTCGATGGATTCGAAAATATTCTTCTGCAAATCGGGGGGATGGATAACCGTCTTATTGTAATAAAGCTTGTTTCTTTCGTTAAATTCCAAGATCCTACCGTTCTTCTTCCATATTATGTTACACAGAGGGAAGCACTCCACCCTGCAGGTCAGGTTTATATGTTGTGACGAATACAGAATGCCTTGGTAAGACTTGAGCCTGTCAAATAAGGCTGGGGGAGCTAGAAAACATTTTAAATTAAAATTTGTGTTTAGTTGTAAACTTAGACCATCTGTATACTAACTAGACACAAACTTCTGTAAATGGTAGTTTTAAAGCAGTTTTACGTCAATATTTCTCAGAATGACGCCATATTCGGTACGAAAGATCGTGTTCTATTTGGTAATTTTTTCTTATAGTGCGATGCTACATGGGAGACGTAGGCAACCTTTCACATTGATCTGTAATTTATGCTTTGGCTGCTACATTTGTGTAGCTATTTTGCAAGTAAAGTCTTTGCAACAAGTCAGGGAAGATTTTGATAGACGACATTTGAAAAATTACAGAAAATGCAATTTACACGTAAAGCAAAATGACAAACAATAGCTGTCACTATCACGTACCCTCTTGTTGGACAAATTTTACATGATACTCATCGCCAAATCCTTGAGGCATTATCTATCGCAACTAAGTTTTGCAGTTCATCACGTGATCATTCATATGATTTATCTTTTTTATGCTTTAAATGAATTTATATTGTTCAAGAAATACAGATTTTCTTGGAGTGAAAAGGAAATAATGCCATCACAGCCAGATATCTGGGAATAACCCTGGACAGTAAACTTCTCTGAAACAGGCATATTAAAAACATTACCAGCAAAGCCACATAGGCTCTCGTGATATGCAGAAGACTGGCGAGAAATAGATGGGGCTGCGCCCCTAACATTTTGCGCTCGATGTATGTAAATACCATGATAGTACGGCCCATGATTATCTTGGAGCAGTTGCTTGGTACACAAAACTAAAGCAACGTAGAGCAAACCTATGCAAAGTACAGAGACTGGCATGCATCTGCATCACAGGTGCCATGAGAACATGCCCAACACCAGCAATGGAGGTCATCCTAGACCTAATACCACTGCACATTGTCGTCGGTAGATATGCCAATGCGACAATGAGTAGAATGGTTTTTGACGGAAACAGTACTAAGAGGAATGCATTTTCAGATTAGAGGCCTTGGAACTCCCATTGGATGGCATACCAAAAATTTACAACTTTGAGAACCTTTTTTTACCTCACGGTAGTATTAATAAAAAGGATTGAGAGAGAGAAACGTTTGCTCAGCATGTAAAAGACCATACCATAACGTGCTATACTGATGCTTCTAAAAACAAAGAGCTTCTAAAAACTTTTGGGCCGAAAACTAAATACCCCGAACCAATGGGCACCTACTCCAGCATACTCCAGGCAGAAATTTACTCTATCGAGAGATGCGTACAACTTATCTTAGATAGTAAGTATCGAAAAAAGGAAATAGCCATCTTATCCGAGAGTCAAGCAACACTAAACGCAATCAACTCAGTAACCATCAATTCGAAGTTGGTCAAAGAATGACCTATGGGTGCCCGCTCATCAAGGGATAGAAGACACTGAAAAAGCAAACGATCTAGAAAAGGAGCGAACACTCCATTAACTAGACCAGAACCGTTCTGCGGGTTCAGCTTCCCAAGCGGAAACCAACTTAAAGCGGAATTCAGGAACCTGGAAGACTCCATCCGTAACCTGGAATGGGAGTCTTCCAACGGTCTAAGAAAATTGAAAAAGTTTCTCAGAACTTACGACCGAGAAAAATTAAATATTTTTCTTGGTTTAAATCTTTGGAATATCACAGGGTTTCTAACAGGACACTGTCTCCTCAACGAACACCTCAATAGATTGAAGCTGAGAAACAATGGCGAATGCAGATTCTGTGGGAAGAGAGCCAGAACACCTCATCACTAGACAGTGGTGATGGAGAGCTGGCCTCTGTGGAGCCGTCTGGCTTTTGTCAAAGCCCTGACAGTATATGATGAGTTATAACTCGTTATAACTGAAAAAAGTGGAACACACAATAAATCTGTAAAGTCGCCGGTGATTGACCCCCCTCCTAAATATTCTAAATATGGCTATTTCTGTTCTACCAATTCTAAGTTTTCTTTTAAATGTTAAGTTTTTCTACAATAATTTCATAATTTTACAGTCTATGATGCACATTTTCTAAACACAAGGATAAATCTTCTCTTAGGAGAAATCATTCTTGGATATTAAGAATTTTGTTGCTTATGTAAATTTTTGCTTCGATAAATATTGACAGATAAATCTCATTTCAGTAGACAATGACAGTGGATGTTTCAAAAAGAAGTGTTTTGTTAAAATATCACTAAAGAGCTGACATTCCTAGGATATTTCAATCATGAATTATGTTAGCTACAATACAACGATATGTCTAGCTGTATGATGATCTAAGACCCTTAAACACCTTCGACTATGTATTTACCGTTGACGTTAATAAAAGCTGTGGCCGGGTCGCTTTGCCCTCCCTCGTTCACCGCTATACAGGTAAAGTTGCTCCTGGTCTCCAGGCCCACGGGCACGATCTTGTGCTTCGACGTCGTAATTTCCGTCATCTGATGCGAGCCCCTGTACCAGATGTAGGTGACGTTCTCGGGCCGGCCGGTCGAGTCCACTTTGCATTCTAAATTCACCTCGGCACCTTTCACCACTTTCGAGGGGTAGTAGCGAATCTTGGCCGGACTCGGAGGGTCTGGAAAATGGATATTCGTGATTAAAAATTTTATTTGATGTGTGATGACATGTTTATGCTTGGGTAAAATTAGAGCTGCAACAAGTCAGCTTGAAAAAGGATTAAGTCTTATAGTGGAGTGCTTTAAGACCTTATGGGATACAAACCTCGGAATTCATTTACTGTGAACGAATTTTTACAAAACTTTTTGCATTGTATTTTTAATAAGATATATTACAAAGTTTACCCATTTAAATTCGTTGCTTTCATTTTAGTATTTAAATAAACATAAATATAAAAATGCATACATACAAGATGGCTCCACATTCCGGAAAAGCTCTATATCAGAATTCCTATATTAGAGATTTTCACTTCAAACTTTTTACAAAATATGTCTTTAATGATAGTTCACATTTAAAAAATATTTTTATAGATATACAGGGTGAGTCAAATATACAGGGTGTCTCAGATTTTAATCGGGAAAATTTAATAGACGATAGAACTTGAAAAAATAAAACAAAAAGTTTATATCAACTTGTAAGATTTAAAGCTTCCTTTTCGAGATACAGGGTACCATTAGAATACCAATTATAATATTAATTATCAATTAGAATTTCATTTTTTTCGCAAGAAGTAAGCAAGATTGGCAAAAAAGTCAGGAGGCAAAAAAATAATATTTTTAATTATTAAATAATATTAAACTTCTAAAAAAGCCGTGGCGTGCCTATTTTTTCCTTAAAAATAATTTAACAGTGATGCCCCACCGCCCCCCCTGGCCATTAAACTTAAATCTAATTACATCAAATTAAGTCGCATAGTAAGTATTATAAACGGGTCAAGTTATATCAAAATCGATTAAATAGTTTTTCAAACATCTGATTTTTTTTTCATTTTTAAGTAACTTTAACACCCTGTATCTCGAAAAGGAAGCTTTAAATCTTACAAGTTGATATGAACTTTTTGTTTTATTTTTGCAAGTTCTATCGTCTATTAAATGTTCCCGATTAAAATCTGAGACACCCTGTATATCTATATTTGTTTAGTTCAGTGAATTTGCTATAAAATTCCGGTTTCAAAAATATCTTATTACCGTAGAGTATATTAAGTGGTTTTTGAATTATGACCAAATTCATCAGGACGTCAATCTAGACGTCCAGGAATCTTCGTATGATAACTTCTAATTGAGACGATCGACTTATTGTAAGTTTATCGCTAAGAAACCGCCGTTTGCCAACTATTCAAATTGATAATGAATAGCACTTAAGGAACGTACATATTAACTAACGGACTATAAGAAGAAAATCAAATGAAGCAAATCTTACGTCAAGAATAGATGTGTTGACTAGGCCCAAAAGCAAAGACATGGTCTCAATATAAAAATTACGAAAAAATGTAGTGTCTTCTTCAAAAGCGAATATTTCCAACAAAAATAAAGCTAAATGAGATGAACCAAAAAACAAACCATCGAGAAAGGATGTATCTAGATGATAAAATGATTTTTAAATTTCTTGCTGTTGTTTCTAACGTGATTGTCTAACGTGATTTTTAAATTTCTTGCTGTTTTTATATATTCCACAGGGTGTTTCAAACTTTCACCAAAATATCAACATTTTGTTTTCCCTCGTATAATTAACAAATGGGGAGTTTCATTTTTAATTTAGAAAAAGATACTAAAAAGTAAAATAACTTGGCTACACACTGCTTAAAAAATCATCAAAATCGGCCCATTAAAACAAAATATATTAACCTATAAAATACATCAAAGCTTCAAGGTGATCATTTTTCGTGCCTGTGAATGTATTAATAAAACAAACCTTTATTTTTTTACTGGAATCCAAAAATCAATTAATATATAGGGTTTTCCATTAAAAAAAATATAACTTTGATGTCTAACTATTTTTGGGGACGCCCTGTAGAACTCTACATAATTTTAGAAAATGCATTCAATTGACTTACATAAGCCCACAAAATTTCACATCAATACAAACTTTTCATCTCCTTGCAAAAACCGCGTCGTATATGACGCGCCACCCTGTATAATTCGATTTCAATCAAAATTTCAATGATTAGAATATAAGCAGAATAGGTATAGCTTATGCATTATATTTATTTATTTCAATATATTTACTTAGAAAAAGAATTAAAAAAATCGAAACATTAAGAAGGAAATAATTAAGAATTTACTAAAATAAAAAATTAAAAGCAATGAAAAAAAGGGGTAAACATTTTAGTATTTTATCTATAAAACACAATACACAAGGTTTCACATTAATACATTCAAAGTAATTGAATTCCGAGGTAAAAGTCTCTGGGCACTCCACTATTAAGTCATTTCTAAAATCAAAATGATTTAAGTCTTAAGTCAAATTCAATATAAAGTTCAAATGGTTTAAGTCTTAAGTCTGACTTAAATCAATTTATTTCAAGTCAAGTAATTTTTTAAAGACTTAAATCAATACAACGTTATTTAAGTAGTTTTTATAATTTAAGTCTATATTTTTGACTTAAATCATGATTGTCTGCAAGTTAAGTCTTGACAAATGACTTAAATCAATATAATTACCCTCAAATCAAGACAACTAGAATTCAATTTTAAGTATTTTTTTTTAAATCTTAATATTAATTTTCTTGTATTATCAATTAGCGATTTTCTTACTAAGTATCATATTATTAATTTGTTGCAGGTACAGAAAAGACTAAAACCACATGAAATAAAACGGTTAATTTTCAGAACAATTACAAACACAAAAATATGTTTTTTTTTGTATAAAATTTAACCTACTTTTTTGTACTACTTTATATGTATCCATTACAGTTTAGATGACATCGAATACATATCTATCAAAAAAAGGACGCGTTTTGATCACTATGTAATCGTATCTATAGCATAAACTAAGGATTGGAGAATTTTAAGGTGCTGTTTAATACATTCGAGATAAATTTCTTTCGTTCGTCTTTCGGTCTACAACGCACGCGTAACACGACAAATAATCAAAACCGGTTCCGAAAAATTAACGTTTTATTCGTGATTAGTATTGAACATTGTTTTTTTTATTCTCCTGCTTGGCTGTCGCCCAACAGTTTATAAAAGAAATACTGCTGTTAAAAATTTATCATAAAAATATATAAAAATCTGACTTAAGCCTTTTATAATAAAACTTATATCGTTTTAATTACTTAAGCCTTTTCTAAAAAGACTGTAAAAATCTGTAACACTCTATAGGTATATAGCGGGTGTTGCATCGTCGGACGGGACATAGGAAATCCCATGTAAATTTTAATGGGGTCAATTATTGGCTTCCCTAATTATTTTAGAGAATAATTCTATTTAGGTTTATTGAAGAGCACTAAAACCCACATTCAAATGAATAACTTTAGATATTTTTGATTAGCTTGTTTACGAGTTATCGCCGATTTATTTTTAAATATTTCTCCTTTCTTATGGCCCTGCATTTACTTATGAGCACCAGTCAAGGTCAAAGATAACTGTCAAATGAAGTTGTCATTTCAGAAATTTACCTATTTAGTGCTTTGTTATTATTGAAAAGCATCCTTGGACCTAGCAGATGATTATAAACTCAAAAGTTTATAATCATCTGCTGATGATGCTAACATGGTTAGCGAAACGCGCGTCCAGTGTAAAAGTAGAAGTGTTTTGGTGTATTGTGGTGATTCAGTGTTTTATTTTGCTATGTAACACCAAAGGTTCCAACCCTCAACTGTAATATTATTGAAAAGTCATTCCTATATCGGAAATCTTAAAAATGTATTTATAAATATAAATTAATATGTATTAAAGTAAAATAAAGTAATCAATTACAAGGTTAATTACAGTATTATTACAATATTCAATAACTTATTAATTTAGGTACTATTAAATTGTTAGAACTTTAGGATTTAAGATGTTCAAATATTCCTCCATCGACTGCTAGACAATAACCCAGGCGATCATAAAATTCTCTTCTTACATTCGCTAGTTGGTAAACTGAAATTCTATTGCATTCGGCAGAAATTTTTAACTCGTCTAAATTTGGGTATTTTTTATCCTTGTATATCCTGTTTTTTAAATGGCCCCAGAGAAAGAAATCATTAGGCGAAATATCAGGAGACCTTGCTGGCCAATTTACTGTATGATTTAGGCCAATAACGTTTCCGTTAAAACTATTGTCTAAATATTCCCGAACAGACCCTGGCTGATTATACTATGTGCCGGGCAGCCATCCATTTGGTACCAAACTTCCTGATTTTCTCTAGCGGCATCATATAAAGCAGTTAAAATATGATTTTCGAGTAGTTCCAAATAATATTCTGCATTTAAATTTCGCGTAAGAAATAATGGCCCGATAATATTGTGTCCGAATATCCCTGCCCAAACATTTACTTTCTGTGGATATTGCGTCCTTGTTTCGATAAACCTGTGTTGATTTTCTTTGTTCCAATATCGATAATTTTAAACATTGGGTTCATTATTTAAGGTAAACGTGCATTCGTCAGTGAAACATATGTTTTTTTAAAAATTCCCTATCCGTGTTTGCTCTTTCCATTATATCAAAACAAAACGCCTGCCGCCGTATTTCGTCCCCATCTCGTAGCTCTTGGTGCTTCTCATATTTGAAGGAATAGTATATTTATGTCGTTTCAAAATTCGAAACGCTATAGTGTGATCTATTCCTATTTCATCCTCAAGTTTCCTTGTGCTGATCTTTCCATCGTTCTCTTCCACGCACAATAAAACTTCCAAGTCGGTATCATTTCCTGCATCTTCTCTTTGTTCCTGCCTTGCTTCACATCTGCAGTTATTTATTAGGGTACCTTTGTCTCAAATCTCTGGACATTCCTTGCGATTATAGATTTTCCAGATATCGGTCTATTCGGACACAGAGCAGAAAACACGCCCGACACCTTTTGATAACTATTTCCTTGATAATATTGATGAGTTTTTAATAATAATATTAATTATTATAATAATAAGCAAATACAGGGCCATAAGAAAAGAGAAATATTTAAAAAGAAATCGGCGATAACTCGTAAACGGGCTAATCAAACATATCTTAAGTTATTCTTTTGAATGTGGGTTTTAATGCTCTTCAATAAACTGAAATAGAATTATTTTCTAAAATAATTAGGGAAGCCAATAATTGACCCCATTAAAATTTACATGGGACTTCCTATGTCCCGCTCGATGGTGCAACACCCGGTATGTATGCATCGTAGAATAAATAATATTTGTTTCTCAAAAACTATACAAATATATCGAAATATATTATTAAATATACAAGACATCTTTTTCAAAATGGAAACTAAAAAAAATGAACTAACTTAGTCCATTTGTCACATATTTAACTGGTGCTTTTATTTATATCTATTTAAAATTATTTAATTTTTCAATAGTTTTTAGAGATGAATAGAACTAAGTTTTAACCAAATAACTTCTATGATTATTTTACTCTCTCTATACTATACTATCCTATATTTGGATCAATTATACGCTACATAAAATAAATAATATGTTCAGGATACGTATACAAAATTCAAATAACGTTTTTTAATTTTTAATATGTTTCATAATTTATCCTTTTAGTTTAATATTGCACTATTTATTAAAATATTTGCATTCATTTTAGAATTGAATGTGAATTATTGCAACTTACAGTAAACGATTAGTTCTACAGGGTCCGAAACTGGTCCCCAGCCAGCGACATTTTCTCCTTGGCAGGTGTAGTTTCCAGCAAAAGTCTCGTCCACTGTTTCCAAACTGAGAAAACTAGGATCTAATCCGCAGAACGGACCACCGGTATCATCCTTGGCGGTGTAATTACACTCGGGGAATTCTTTCATTAGTTCGCCATCCAAAAACCAGCGCACCTAAAACATAAATTGTATTAAAAGTTAGTAAGGCACTTAAGTCTAGACTAATGTACCTTTGATAGGTTTGAGGGATTTCCTGAAGTAACGTTGCATTGTAACATTACGTTTGTTCTGTCTTGAGCTTTTACTGGTGTAGGGGGATCCATAAGAACTACTACATCTGGAGGATCTGGAAATATAAATGGAGATATAGCGGCAATGAGAAATAATTATAAATAATTTTGTTTTTTAACATTAATAAAACAATAGTCTACTAAAACTCACTAAATCTTTCAAAGCACTGCATCATAATCTTATTAAGTATGATACACATGTATTTAAAATTATTTTTCTAGATATTGCTACAACATAACTAAAAGTTTTACAAAAATTACCTAGTATTATGATTTTAGGACACAAACCAAGTAAAAAAAGATTGAAAAAAAACGGCGCGGCGTCAGCGATGGCTTTCAAATGAAAAAGATCGTTGTCATTTAATACTAATCCTGGTCTGTAACAGAGATAAATATAAACGACCGGTTGACAGACAGAGAGACAAAATAAAAAGCTGCATACAGTGTTGCCAGTTTTTACGTTTGTAGGAAGATGTGTGTAAAAAATAAACTATTTTAAAAACTTTCATGTATACTACTTAAATTAAGATAATATATCTAAGCTAAATATAATCTATTACAGCTGTGTAGTAAAATGAGTAACTAATTGTGAAAAATGAAGTTCCAAACCTAGATGCAACATTTTTTATAAACGCCTATTTGTGAGGTTTGAAATCTTGATGCAAAATTCGGCAAAACCGCATAGAAAAAAGCGTATCAACCCAACTTTTATCTCTTTTTAATATATTTCATTTTCAATTCAGCTGTCGACGTCACTGTCTTACACGTTATAATTCAGACCACGCAGTTTCAATGACCAGATCGGTATGTAAAATTATATGGAAAATGTCATCGATCGTCATTTCAAAGCCAACTGGATGCCGATCATACGGTATTTTATTTGGTTTGTTAGAATAATTTTGAACAGATTTAAAAATATTAGGACTTGCTGTATCAAAATATCCCCATTATGTTTATTTTGAAAGAAAATAATTATACAGGAGTCTTAAATAAGTGCAAATATTTTTAAGAGTAGTATATTTCGACCCCAGAAACACGATTATGAGATTTTTTCGGGAAAAAAAATTTTTGAAAAAAAAGTTGGAAATTATTTTAGTAAAAAATCTAATTTCTTGACAAAATGGCAACAAAGGTAGTAGATTAAATTTACCTAAAATAAAACCCAGAAAAGATCCAACGATCTCAAAACTTAAGCAAAAAATCATTTCTTTTGGAAATTTTCAAAGTAATTAAACTCGGTTATTTTGGACTTTTTTATTTGAAAAACGGTAAAGAGAAAATGTTTTTTTTAACGATATCTATACCAGTCCTGAAAATATTTGCACTTATCTAAGACTCATCCTGTATATTAAAATCGAAAAAAAAACGGTAAAATTATATGGGGGAATGTAATCGATTGTCATTTCCAAGTTATTGGATGCCGTTTTTTCGATTATACGGTATAATTACAACAGAAGTTGTAAATGAATAGAGTGAAAACAGTTTTAACATAATAAAATTTAATAAAATTATTATTTTAAGAATATTATTATTCAATAAATTATATTGTAATGGAATATTTTAGAGCAGACAACAAACCTAGCTTGTTAAAAGTGTATCATTTGTTTCCGCCCTTAAATTGTTTTTTTTTTCAGAAGATCGTAAAAACTGTTTAGAATGAAGGACCCGTTTCTCTGGGAAAAACTAAATATTTTTCTGTTGGGTGTAAAATCCCACGTCCATAAATTAATATAATACTTGCTTTGAAACAGCTAGAAACGACTAGCATCAGTCATTAAGGCTGTAAAACCCTAAATTTTAACTTCGAGATTATATAAGCAAAACCCCTTGAAAGCAATAAAACTCCTAAGACGACACTCTTCTCACGATAGACCTCCCACGGGCCAATACAAACAGATTTTGGATAAAAACAAGTATAATTGTTAATTTAAATATTAAAGTAAAGTTCACGTAATGATATTCTGAAAGTTAAGGACTGTCCTCCTTTTTTATCCAAAATATCCAAAAGTATGTGAAATAAATAAACTTATAAGATAAAACAGCGGAATCTAATGAAATGAAATTATAAATGTGATTTGTTTGGTTTTTTAAGGACAGATCTTAAAATATACTTTAAGTTAGGGTTAGATTTAATCATGTGTAATTGTGTTTACGGTAATTATAATATTTACATAGATATTAGTAATAATTTGGAAATAATGTAGAAATGGTCATAGTAACGACATCTGCGACAAGTAGGGCGAACTAGACCGGGAACGACAGGGTAGTTGAGGTTTTCTCAGACCAATCAGACGGTTCCTGAAAAGCGAACCCGAAGAGGATTTGAGAATGGCTCGGCTTTTGGTACTTCCCTATTCTTTTTACCCGCCCATTTTAAAGATTTCGAGATTTAGGAAAATAGTTTTTTGGATCAGTTCGGTACTGACTTTTAAATTAGACGGTCGAATTTACTCCGTGTAGATCTTATATTATCCAGTGGTTTCTTTTTAATGATTTTAGTAAGTTTTCTATTTAAAGATTTTCTTAAATATTCAATTCTCAAGTTAGGAAATTTTGAACATTTCATGTATAAAGATTTTTAATTTGTTGTTTTAGATTTTCTTTAATATTTTTTATTAACGATTTAAGACTTTCTGTTTGTTCTAAAGGCGTTAGTAAAAGCAAAGTTTAGTAAAAGTTAGATATCATCACACAAATTATTATTTTGCAATTGTTCTTTTTATTAAATTCTAATTTAAACCCAATTGTTCACTTAATATTTTTTTTGACATATTAATTTTCTGACAACGAAAATTCTAAGAGAGATTTGAATTGTATGCTGATTTTAGATAATTTAGATTAGACTAATAAGAAGAATATTTTGTATTTTTTTTTAACTTTATCATCTCTGAGTTCTAATTTCATTTCTCTAATTGTCATTAATTATTTTTGATTCAATTTCTTTCTTTTTCTTTATGTTTCATTAATTATAAATGTTTTGTTGTTAAATCTTTTTCTTTATTTTTCTTTATTTATTTCTTTATATTAAATATAGTTAGGTGTTTTGAAAAATCGGCATTTTATTTCTTAATCTCACCTTTTCACTAAAATATTAAACTATCTAAAAGAACACTGTGATAACCGGTCGAGTGGTTTAATCTAAAGAATGAATCCAAGACCGAAGCGGGGATCTACAAGGGGATCAATGAAGTTTTCGACAGGTTCTTGTTGTTGATGTATTGCTGACGGATGTTGACGTAATAAGGTAAGTGGCAATAGAGTTTATGTTAACTGAATTTAGAAAGAATCCTTACCGTAAAAGTGCGATGCCTTAATTTCTATTTTTAGCTGGTTATATTTTGTTTTTTATATGCTAACGATAATCTATATTTACGCTCTGAAAAGTCGGTGTTCTCATTATCCAAGTTCTCCTACCGCTCATTAAATTATTTTAATTATAATTATATAAAGGCCACACTACCATGTTAACGGATAAATCTTGAAAGTTTAGGGCTTTAAAAATAACGTCACAATATATTTTTCTATAAAAAGCTATTAGGACTTACACTGAACATTTAAAAATATGCTATCAGCTGATTGTTCTGAACCCACTTCGTTCTTTAACCAACAACTGTACTCTCCCATATCGTCTCTTGTCACGTTGTAGATTATTAAAGGTGGATTTTCTACGGTGCCTCCCTTGTATTTGGATGAATCAGATAAAGTTAAATTTGTACCATCTTTGGACCTGAGAAAATAAATTAAAATTTTAGGTACACAATGTTATACACAAAATATGTTAAGAATTACATATCTAATCAGAACAGTAATAAAAAGATATTTAAGAGAAACGAATTGATAAATAAAAAGTATACTTTTATAGCCTTAACCTAAAATAATAATATTGGTGTTTAATTAAATCTTAAGAATATTTATAGAAAACGGGTTGTGTAAAAATGCTGCAACGGTCTAAGTGCAGGGCCACACAGAAAGCGTTTTTTGCGTTTTTAGTGTGAAGCGTCTTTTGCGTCTAAAACAAAATAACAGGATTATATAGGAGTGGCCCCACCAAAAGCGTCTAGCGTTGGGCGTGTCTCGCAAAAAACGCAAACGAAAAAAGCGTTTTCAATGAGACCCCGTCATAGGCGGACGTAATATTTAATAATAAAATAACAATAAATTAAATATTATGCATTTTTTTCCATTTTACAGTATTATCTAAAAATATTTTTATAGAGAATATTATACTGTTTTAGGAAGATTCTATTAAATTCAAAAATTTGAAGGAAATGTTTGAAAAAGTGTAGTTTGAAATGTTGAAAAAGTAATAAATTAAAGGAATATTTTTTTACGCGTAAAAAAATGTTTTTTTATGCGTAAAATGGTCATTTTTACGCGTAACAAATAGTTCTTTACGCGTAACAAATAGTTTTTTACGGGTAACAAATAGTTTTATACGTGTAAAAAATAGTTTTCTAGGTGCAAAAAATAGATTTTTATGCTTAAAAAATATTTTTTTTTGCGTAAAAATATTTCTTTACCGGTGGCGAGTAGTGTTTTACCAGTAAAAAATAGCTTTTTACGTGTAACAAATAGTTTTTTTACACGTAAAAATCTTTTTATTAACGTAAAATTTTTTTTATCAGAAACAATAAGTTTTTGACGCGTAAAATATAGTTTTTTTACTTGTAACAAATAGTGTTTTACATGTAAAAAATAGTTTTTTGCGCAAAAATGGTTTTCTACCAATAACAAATAATTTTATACGCGTATAAATAGTTTTTTACGGGCAACAAATAGTTTTTTACGTCTAACAAAATTTTCTTTACGTGTAAAAAATAGTTTTCTACCAGTAAAAAATAGTTATATATACGCGTAAAAAATAGTTTGCTACCAGTAACAAATAGTTTTATACGCGTAAAAAATAGTTTTTTATGTGTAACAGTTCCATTCGCGTAAAATAATAAAAATAGCTTTTTACGTGTAACAAATAATGGTTTTTTACACGTAATAATTTGATTCACTTTTACAAAATTTGTATTAAAATATATTTTTCATAAAGACGTGGACTGCTCACAAATACACGTCGCGTCACTATGTATTTCTAAGCCGTTAACACGTTTCGTTACAACTAGCTCGTGTGTCGGGGCCGTCTCGCTAGCCTTCAATTTTTACTCCAAGCGGGCGTAAAGAAGTTTCATTCCAAAAAGTTTCATAAATAATGTCCTAAAATTGCGTTAAGAACTAGTAATATTTACTATTCTATTATTTATTATTTATTATATTACTCGTATATTATAATTATAACAAGTAACCACAACACTACAACATAAAAAAAACTATACACATATAAACTAAAATTCGTAAAATAAATGGCAAATAATAATTATTATTTTTACACACACCACTGGCACTAGCAGTAGATTGTGCTTATCGCCGAATATATACCCCGGCCCGTCCACAATTCAATCCCAGCATCTTTTATCTTCGTCTCCTCAACGCTAACCGCGCCGATCTCGCCTATCTCTTTCTCACAGGATTGATTGTTGAACGGTCCGGGAATCCACGAGCTTGCGTTACTAATTGACATCTTGATAGAAACTGCAAACCTGCCGCGTCTTTTGCGTGTTTTTAATGGACACATATCGAAAAAAGCGCTTAAAACGGTCAAATTGCAAAACGCTAAAAACGCTTTCTGTGTGGCCGTGGGCTAAGCCACTCGAAAAAATATCTCAGGACTTACGACCGAGAAAAATCAAAGATTTTCTTCGATTTAAGGTAGAAAAATCTTTGGATTGTCCCGAGGTTTTAACAGGACACCGTCTCCACAATGAACAACTCAGTAGATTGAAGCTAAGAAGCAAACGATGAATGTAGATTATGTGGGAAAAATCGGGAAGCATCACAACACCTCATCAATTAGTGCGCCGAAATTATAACCATTCGTTCCATAAACTTTGGTACGACTGATATCGGAGATGGAGAAGAAACCTCTGTAAGACCGTCTCAGATACTGGCTTTTGTCATAGCCCTGAGACTGTATGATGAGTTTTACCCCAAGAAAGGGGGACACGATAGATCAATAAGGTCGCGGTGATTAACTTTCGGTATCCCATACAATATATTACAGTCTATACTACAATAGTGCGACTGAAAACTTATGTTATACCGGGTGCGTCTTAAAAGTCGCTCACCTCTATAAATTTTTTGTTTTTTCAGATAAAAATTAGAGATTTCGTATGTTAATATATGACATAAATTAGGATTGATTGACGTATTCAATTTTTTTCGGCCATTTCCTATTTCACCGAAAATGACTACAAATTTTGATTTATATATGGTATCCTCGGTGACTTTTTAACTTTATTCGATAGAAAATGACACTCTGAATAGATAGACATATCATATGTCAACTTTTGACTTTTTCGAATATGGTTTATTTGAAATTGCAACATGCGATTCATAACGACAATTTGACTCGAAATACCAAGTGTGTGGTAAAAAATTATTCGTAAAAAAATTCTTTTTCCAAATATGCTATTGAGCCACCCTCGTTCCACTTGAAGAAAATGATTTATGATTAAAAATACGATTTGGGCATCTTTTAACAGGCCAGGATAAGACACTAAAAACATTAGACCATCAAATCTATTTTTTCAAGGCTCCTTGATTAAAAATTAGTGTGTTTAACACAGTCATGGCGCTCTAGATTGAAATTTAAAATGCAATTTTGTTTTAAACAAAAATGTCAAAAGTTGAAATATGATATGTCATTCTATTCAGAGTGTCATTTTCTATCGAATAAAGTAAAAAGATACCGAGGGTGCCATTTAAAAATCATAAGTTGTCGTCATTTCCGGTGAAGTAGGAAATGGCCAAAAAAAATGAATATGTCAATCAATCCTAATTTATGTTATATACTAATATACCAAATCTCGTTATTTTATCTGAAAAAATAAAAAAGGAAAACTAAAAAAAAGAAAGGGTAAAAATAAAAGGGTGAGCCACTTTTGAGACGCACCGGGTATATTATTATTATTATTATTAACATATTATAAAGTTGGTCATTGTCAACGACATTGTCAAACGACAGTGTTTTTTTGGTTCTTACCAAAAGTTAATATTTAAACCTGAACCTAATGTCTCATCTTAAAATAAAGTCTATCAAGATAAAACGTACTGTATTAAGTATATCTAAACTATATAACAAAAGTAAGTACATCGTATCGAAAGATTTATTTCGTGCATGACGGTGCACGAATTCCTGCCGACCGACTGCCACTATCAAAAAGAAAAGGATTACCATAAAGCTCCTCTAAGCTCCTGCGGGTTGGCTTTGTAACTGCAGATCAACAATGTTCCGCTTGTCGATGTCGTCAGGGCCGTACTCTCGTTCACGGTTATGTTTTTCGGACGTACAGATATTACTGGCGGATCTGAAAGAAAAAAGAAAAACCAAGGAATTACAAAAATTATACTTTGAAGTGTATCAGCATTTTATTTGGTATGACTTTTTACAGGCTTTAACACTTTTATTTTTGAAACAAGAGAACTAAATATACCTTCAACAAATTATATAGTTTTTAGTAGAGGTAGCGTGTTAAAAACATTCGATGTAAAATGTCACATTATTGATATTTTTTTTTCAAACGTTACAAAAATATTAGTAATGTGACAGTGAGTGCAACTATAATTTCTCGATATACAGGGTGTCAAAAAATAGTGTATCTAACTTTGGTGATTCTACTGTATAATTACTTACAAGGTATTGCTTTTAAATCTTTTTATATTATTTGCAACGTTTGAAATTGTTTAAAAAATTATTTGTGAACGTTTCAGAAAAATAATAATAATATCAGACTGCGAAACGTACACGCCGCAAAATGAGTCATTTTTACTCCTAATAAACAACAAACTATTTTTTTAAACGTCACAAAAATAGGTATTAATTTTTGCGATGTAATACTTGCGATGTAATAGGTTGCTGGATATACAGAGAAGACCAGGCTACTAGTAACATAGCAAGTTGCCGGACGAATTTACGTTTACCCAATTTGCGTTCGTACTAGAGATTCACTGCCGGCTAGTCGGCTGGTCAGGCAGTTCGCAGTTGCAGTTGTGCTCGGACGGGTCGGTCGTGACAGACTAGGAATACGACGCGAGGAGTGCCGAGTATTTATTATTTTCATTTTAAGTGTTTACCTTCACTTAAGGTAACATTTAAAATAAAAATACTTAAATCTTTATTATTTGAGTGTTTTTACAAGCCAAAACTAAAAATAAATAAATTCTCTAAACCCAAAAAGAACTAAAATATTACTCTAAATAAAAAAAGTTATAACAAGTGTTGAAAAAGACCACCTTCTTGTGCTAGACAGAAGCCTAGGCGGTCGTAAAATCCCTGTCTGACATTGCCTAACATATTAGGGCTAATAGTTTGGAAAGCCTCTCGTATTTTTACTTGAAGCTCATCCAGATTCTTAGCCCTATTATGACCATACACTTTGGGTTTTACATAACCCCACAAAAAGAAATCATTGGGAGAAAGATCTGGTGATCTAGCGGATCACAAAATAGTTCCATATCCACTAATTAAACGGTTAAACACTTGCTTTAACTCCTGTTCTCTCATTAATCAACACATCAACATTGTGTTTTTGTGGGGATACGCACCCATGTGTTTCAAAATTATTAATAACTCTTGATATAGTAGGTAAAGATAGAATTGGCCTGTTTACAAAAGTTTGTGGAAAAATTGTTTGTATATCCCGATAAGACCTAATTTGGAAATACCATTTTACAATTTGAATTTTCTCACGAACTTCGTAAACATCCATTATTTTACTTAAAAAATAAATTTTACACGAGAACTGTCGCGAGAATCTATGTATTCGTTTTGGCTATTAAAACACGAATAAATACAAATTATGAAACATTCTTATCACATATCTACCTATTTTTATTTTATGGCATTTTTCGCCTGCTTTTTATCCGGCGGACGGGTATACGCTAATTCGTCCGGTTCTGCTTATGTTACTACTACGGTGGTCCGGTTGTATAATTACTTACAAGGTATTCCTTTTTTATATTATTTGCGACGTTTGAAATAGTTTAAAAATAATTAAGGTGTAAAAATGCACTTTTTATGGCTCACCTGTAACGTCAAACGTACAGCCGCACCACAGAAAGAATCATTTTTACAACAAAATAAAACACTAAATCACCACAATCCACCAAAATACTTTTACCTTTACACTGGATGCTAGTATGATCACAGATTAGGTATCCTATAAGTATACAGATAAAAATCTTGTCCCTAATTCGTGGTACGAAAATTGTTTTTTATGACGATGTGCAAACGAGTCAAATTTCCTGTGCGCAAACATAAACTCGCGTAAAATAACAATAAACAGCGTAATAGAGAGATCGCGTCGCGTCCGCTATTTAAACTTAACCTAACTTTGAATTTAAAACTTTGAAATTGTTTTGTTTACTAGGTATTTTAAAACTAAAGGGCTAAAGTGCTTATTTCCAGTGCTTTATTGTTCAACGTCTGCCAGTGGGTTTAGGGCAACAAGCAACAAATTCTCTTAGAAGGGCTAAGTCGTCATCTGCTGTAAACCTAAGACTCTTTATAGGTTCTTTAGTATTGGAAGAGGTGGAATCCATATTTTGGGCCATATTTATTTAATTAAAACTAATCCCAGCTACTTAAATATCAAATTACCTAATAAAACTAAAGCAATAATTCAAACCAATTCAAACATAACCTAAAATAAAAGATCTCGCCGGCCGGCTCCGATTGTCAAATACCCGCACATGCCCATTTAAGCAATTTTTAAACGTTATCAGAGGTTATTTAGAAAGAGCGCTTGGTGGAATTGATCCGCAAATTACGTCAGGCGGTAACGTTATTAGCGGGTGTTGCGTTAAAAATTGACTCGCGCATATCGTAACCATGATAAGGTACGCGGAAATACTGGATGACGCTATTCGGTTTTCCGATATCTCTTTAATAACTGTGCCGGTCAGGCGCTGTGTACAATTTTAGAGGCCATAAGTGGGCGTGCTATGTGCGCAAACTAGTCACCTAACTAGTGCCCGATTCCGAAAATTGGAACCACGAAAAATAATAAAGAAAAAACAAAGATTATAATCTGTATAATCTGTGGTATCATCAGCAGATTATTAAAACTTAATTTTCATCATCATTAAAGGCGCGTCCAGTGTAACAGTGTTGTATTGTGGTGATTTAATGTTTTATTTTGCTGTTCTAACACCATAGGTGCCAACCCAAAACTGTTATATAATTTTTACTCCTAACAAAACAATATAAGCATTTTTATGGAATTTGGCATTTGATACAAAAATTATCGATTTTTTTAGTATTTTTGTAAAGTACTGTATCGCAAAGCTCAATTCTGTGTGATAAAATAGTTGTTATATACAGAAATTAGAATTAATGTACATTATTGAGTTGAATTTATACGTAAACAGAGTTAATGATAAAAGTAAAATTGCCATTTAAATAAAAATGTTTCCTTACATCTGACTTCGAGTATTAGCATATCGTGCATTTCCGGTTCGTAGTGATGCTTCGTGACGTTATTCTCGGCGTAGCAGTAGACTTTCATCCCATTTTCCCAATGGCTGGCTTCGAAAATCAGCTGGCTCTTTGTTGTGTACGTACCGTCTCTCTGTAAATAAGAAATACGAATTTTCTTTAGTATCTTAGAGCTTATCTTATATGTCTGTAAGCAACAATAAGGTATACGGTATTATTATTATATAACTAGAGTAATACTTTGTAAGAGGTTATAAAAAGTTTTTTTTATTGTAAAACTTAGAATAATAAATTGTTTTAGAAAGGTAAGTAGTTAAGGCAGGGTGACACGGTCAAAGTTACTTGGACCTAACAAAACAGTTACTTGAATATAACTGTACTTAAAATAATGCTGCGCGTGTCTCACTTGTACGCTGCTTCTATAGTATTAACTGTTTGAGCAAAGTCTAGTTGGAAGGCTTTTTAACATCAGAGGTCAGAGTTGCATCAAAGTAAGTAGACTGCCTTCCAACTTACTTAGATGCTACGAAGCCATTCAAATCGACTTTGTTAAAAGGGTTGATATCATACAAACAGCGTAAAAGTGAGACTTGTTCTGGCTTATTTCTGGATTGTTTTTAAATAAATTATATAAAATATTGGCAGTACTGTCAGTCTTCAGCTAGTTTTTCTTCATTGCAGTCTCCTATAAATAGTTTCATTTTCAACTGATTCATTCCCATCTAGATAATACAAAGACAATTATAATTTTATTTATTTTTAGCCTAAATAAAAATTGACTTTTTTAGTATCTGATTATCGTTGTTTAAAACTAAGTTTTCATCAAATCCTATTGTAGACCACTACAATTACTGTCCTCCATTTACGCAGTTGTGCAGCTCTAAACTGTTCAAGAACGCGATACTCTAACTCCATTCAATTGAGTCATAAAGTTCAGAACTGTTCCGCGCCATATGAAGCACCAGGCTATCGCGCATAGCTCCCTTCAGAACCGTTCTGAGTAGCCCAGGGCGTAAAGCTCTGGAACTTGAAATTCGCGAATGGAGGACAGCAAATGTCATTAGTATACGGTCATATTCATTATACCACTTAATTGTGACATTTCATCGTGACATTTTTTCAGAGTACAGATATTCTGGTATTTACAAATGCGCATATCTGATCTTTTATCAGGTTAGAGCTCACAATAACGGGGACTGCCACATATCCGATATTTTCTCCGCGGTAGTCCACTAACGCACAGATATTAATGAAAGGTAAAGACCGCGCTGCTTTTGTTTCAGTTTGGCTGCTGAATTTTTGAACAGTTTGGCTGCTGATCCAATGCTGATCCATTGCACAAAAATCATAACGTGACTACGAGCCCTAACAACTATATGTTGGGACAAGGTCATATTTTGGAATTATTTCCCTGGTTTTTCAAAATGACTGAAAAATATATGTTTAATTTTTTAAATATAAACATAGCCATATATCCTAAACAACTTGACAATATTTTTATGAATTTTTAAATCAATCCATATTTACAGTAGCGGATTTTGTTCATAAAAGGACAAATTTGCTGACAACTAAATGTTGGGACAAGTATTTTTAAATAATTAATATCATAGGCGGCTTTGCTATAAACGTCATAAATGTCGCAAACTGTTTACTTCAGCATTGACAGCTTGTAAGTGACTCGATACTTTGAGTAGTGAGACTTACTGTAAGTAATTTTAATTTTTTTAATTTTCAATTTTGTTAATTTAATCCAGAGTAATGGTCCGTGGAAAAGCTACAAATCAAAAACTACGCGAAATTATCATTCGTCAATACAGTACGGGAAAAACAATTCGAAAAATTTCTGATGATTTAAGTATTCCAAAAACCACGGTCTTTAATATAATAAAAATATACGGCGAATCTGCCAGTGTAGGCGTTAGAGGTAAAAATTCGGGAAGGCCAAAAGTTGTATCTCAGAGAGATTTACGAAATTTAGTAAAAATTTACAAGTCTGCGAGAAGAAGTACTCTTCGCGAAGTAACAGTTAAATGGAATACTGTAACTGGATTAAATATATCAAGAGAATGATGCCGAAAATATATCCATAAATGTGGTCTGGGGTTTTAAAAGGTAAACTTTATTTTGTGTGGATAATAAATTACCTGAAGATTATTGATACAAATTCTTATTTAGGCCAAAGAAAAACGCTACTGACAGAAAATCAAAAGAAAAATCGCTACAATTGGGCAAAATCTAAATTATCGTGGACACAAAATGATTGCAATAAAGCTTCATTTTCATGCATCCGTTGTCCGACGATAAATTTGGGATAATTTTTCTCCTCAAATGTGCCAATCTTTGGTAAATACAATGCCATTAAGAGTTCAGGCAGTTGTTAAGGCGACAGGTGATGTAACTCCGTGTCAAACAAATTTCTTGTTGTGCTGTCCCAATATATAGTTGTCAGCAAATTTGGCTTGATTTTGGCAAAATAAGCTATTATCAAAAGTGATTTGTTTGCAAAGTTATAAAAATATAGTAAAATTGTCTAGATCATATTGTAATGTTTGAATTTAGAATAATAAACAAAATTTAGAATAATAAACGAAATACAGAATTTTTAAAAGTTCGCCACTTTTAACTAGTAGGCTTTGGACCGCTTATTGATGATCAGCCTCTAATGGAACTCGAAAACATATTTTTCCAGCAAGACGAGGCACCGCCTCATAACGCTGAAGTTATCAGCTAACTTTTGCAGCTAATTTCGACAATAATTGATTAGTTAACATACATCCCAACCGTTGGCCGTCGAGGTTGCCGGACTTATTGTGTATTGAGTGCCTATGGATTTTTATCTTTGCGAAAGAATAAAGGTTGTTATTTTTAAATTGCCTGTATAATCTAGGCAAGAATTAGAAGTACTTAGCGGTTATGCGAAGGTATCTTTCACCCCCAATAAATTCCGCGAGAAATGTTCAAAAACGGTTCCGTCTGTCCATAATAGAAGACGGTCGACATGTCGAACATTTATAGCAAAATCTCATGTTTTGGTTTGATATTAATTTTTATTGTTATTAGATATAGTTTAAATGTGTTGATGTTAAATATAGTTTAAATTGTTATAAAATTCTAAATCTCTCATTGCAAATATTATTTTCGTTTTAATTGCTACTCACAGTTACAATTTTTCTGCATTACAGCCGGCGTCGTTCAAAGCCTACTTATTTAAAGTGGGCGAATTTTAAAAAAATCTATATCTCGAAGAGGAATCGAGCAAAATATCAAGTATGTTATATTTTTGGAAAGGTAATTTTAAATTATTTTCAATGAATTTAAAATATACAGTGTGTCCCATATAAAAAATCAAATTTTCTGTTGATAATAATTCTTAAATTATTAATTTTAAAAAAATTATACTAAAACCATTAAATTCTACGTAAAAAGGTGCTTTGGAAATGTTTTCATAAAAATACGAAATTTTCCATAGGAAAAAAGTTACAGCGATTTGTTGAAAATGCACATTTTTGAAAAACATCCCGTAGCTCATAAATGATAACAGATATCGACGTGCGGTTTTACCATCATTTTTTGATAAAAATTGGGCTCCAGACACCAATATTAGTTTTCGTCTATCTCCTATAAAAAAGGGTGTTTCCCTTTAAAAGCGTCCAATTTGACCCACCCTGTACAGAATATAGATACAAAAATACTAATAAATATTTAAATATCTATAAATCATTCCATATATTGTGACCCGAATGTATGCCTGGTTATATATTAATAACTAATATATGAATAGTAATGGTTTATTGGAATGCAAATTTAGATAAAGCAATTCCTATTTAATACTACGATATAATACTGGCTACCGGTTTTAATAATGAAACGAGATTTAAACAGCGTTCATTTTCAATTAATTCAAATTTCCAATTGAATATATCTAATGCATTTTGTTAATACTCTACTAGTCTAAGAGACTTAGATATTTATAGATATATCTGTTAAATAGTATTAAATAATTTAAATTGTTCATTCGTTACCGAATCAATAAATTAAATTGGAATATAAATTTGTCATTTATAGGTTAGGGCATTTGGGATGATTGGTATTATATTTGAATTTAAATTTATTATTTTATTATTTATCTCAATTTAACATTTTACTGATTCATTCGTTCAGATTTAAAGCAAATTTTAGGTTGAATTATATTTTTCTACATCAAAATGATTATTTGTTAGAATATTTAATATTTATCAGCTTTTTTCAGATGTTTCTGCTTTTATTCTACTAATGGTTATGCGTTCGAAGATATGAAATTGAAAAATATACAAAACTTAAAAAAGCGTGAAACAATATAATTTATTTTTGTTGTATAGATATCAGTATTGGAGATTAGAACTTATTATATCATTAACAAATATATTAAGAGTCCATTTCACTAGTCCGAAAAAGTAGCAAAATAACAAGGTGACCAACCGTCCCGATTTGGCCGGGACAGGTTCCAGTTTTCGATAAGTCGTACAGAAATAAAAATGCGTCCCGGAATGTCCCGTTTGTGTTCTTATTTGTACCAGTTGTCACGAATTTAAAGAATTTTCAAAAACAGTGACAACACTGCAAATTAAATTGTCCGATTGTCCGTTTCTTGCGCTCTCGGGCGGACCAGACCGGAACTAAGATTTCTGAATTTTAAGAGTCGGTTTCAAAAACCCCACTAAATTGCCGCCATGCCATCTTACCACAAAATAGAAAAGCAATATTCATCTCGGCCGACAGGTGTCAATGATTTCGGGATTCCCACGCACAAGAAGAGTTTTTTTGGTTCTGAGTTCTGACTATAAAATATCGTCTATCGAAAAAGTCGACAACTACTGCGGGCTGTGTTAACTGTGTAACATGTTTAGAATTTTATAAGGTTTTACTTGATAATGAAATGGCATTAAACTCCATTAGTTCTCAATCAAAATACACAAATTCAAGTAAAAAGTGCAAGGTACATTGTATTTATTTAATGTAAGAATTTTTATTTTAGTTTATTAACTTTAATAATTAAAGTTAAGGCCTAACCTGAATGTAGAGTAGATGTATGTACTCGTATGTATTAAGACAAATTAGAAAATAAAGTACTATTTATCTTTTTTCAAGATTTTC